AGGATAAGGATCAGAGGAAGGGGTCAGGGTTTGATTTAACCAGTAATTTGCATCTAGGTTTGTGATTAGATCATAAAGGAAAGACTGAATGTTTATCAACCACATTAACAAGTTATCTACAAACGTATTCTTAAGCCCATATTTTAAAATGACAAGTTACTATTCTGATAAGCCAGTTCTTAATTTCAGAGCACTGCTTTCTGGAAAGCTGTAGGCTGATCGTTTGTTGAGCAGAATGTCCTCCAGAAACTGTAGGAGACTCCTGAGTAGATTTTCAGTTAATCTTCATTCTTAAAGGTCAAACTAGCTTATAGCTAATGACAGCGGCCTACGCCATTACCCATCCTCCCTCTGGCTGCTGCATGACAGTAATTGATGACTTGTGTCTATAAGTGATCCACTACTGCCTATTCGTCAAGATGCCCTCTCATTCTGTTGGCCCATAAAATCCCTGAAAAGTGTATCTTCATGTATTGCTTGGTCCACAGCTTTTGAATTTTAATCAGCAGTGGTCATATCTCAGCTTTCTTTATCTTTCATATTTTTCTGAGCACTCGACAGCTTGTACAGGTCTGAAATATGGCACGGTGAGATGTTATAGTTTGGTTGTTTCAGTGAGTGTCTGCTGAGTAGCAGTTAGCACAAGTTCTAGTTATATTTACATTCATTCTTTGGTCAGTGAGGGAATATTGTCAAAATTAAATTAAGTCAAGTCTGATAAAAAGGGTTTTATCTTTATTGTCTTTAATTTGATCATTTTTATGCAGTTGAGTTAAAAAGATACAATCAAATATTAGTACATTTTGGGCTGTCTAGTGATACAATTGTTGCCTCACTGCAGTAAAGTCTTAGTCTCACTCCACAGTGAAGCTTTAGGGTTTCCATGTTCTTCCTGTGCATCTCTAGACTTGGTTCTTGTCAGTCATGCATGGAAGTTGGAGGGTAGGAACAATTATGTGATGTCTTGTGCCAGTGAGACTTTAAAGGTGTTGCACAAGACTTTAGTACTATGGCTGCAGATTTAGAAAACTCTTTCAGTCCTGGAAGACAAATCATCTGTTTTATCGGCACTCAACAAAATGTTCTAACAAACTCAAACATTCATAAAGATAGACAACAGAGTACATAAAGAGAATGATAAAAATCCTTACAAATAAATAATCATTAATATTTCAAAATCAAAATTAACCCAAGTATTGCTTGTTTTGTCAACCTGGTTTACTTTTAACCAATAATTTTTAGATTAAAAATATTAATACATTATTTGGGGTCAAACTCAAACACATTCCTGAACCCGGCCTTTAGTTAGCACAAACTGTTTTGTTTTTTTAGGCAGCAGTTTTTAAGCTTTATGACTGCAGATTCAAGCTTCCCTAAACAATATATCCAAAACCTAGAAGCACATACCACACTCTTATTGCAAAATAATAGAGTAAAACGGCTGAAAAGCAATAGGAGATCACATTACACTGCAAGAAGAGGAGAATAGTGAAAAAGAAGCTTGAGCAGTCATGGAGCTAAATGGCTTCGTTATCCATCCATGTTTCTCCTCACATGAGACAGCTGAATCAAAAAAGGACATAATGTGACGTTTATTACTGTGAAAATAAATTATAGAGGAAGGGTCATTATCGTCTGGAGAGTTTTGAGAAAAATGAATCTATTCTTAGGTTTTACCCACATAATGAGATATGCCTGCAGTTTCCTATTAAGAAGTTTCAGAACACCAAGTTTAGCCCCGGTGAATAATCTTTCATCAATCAGACAAAAAAAAAGTACAAACATTACTCCTATTTAAATGGAGGTGTGCTAGATGACTAAACATTTGTGGATGTTTTGCAAGAAAATGACTCATTTATTTTGCTAACAATTAATATCCCAGGGATCGCAGAAGGCATGCTGACACCACAGAATGTACACAAAGCAAACAAATTATGCCCATTTCCCTGAAGCAAGTTTCCTCCTCAATATTGTTTGTTTACCCATTGGACGTTCGAAATATGCCACCTGGGTTATTGCTTCCTGAAGGTGCATGAATAATTCCAGCAAAAACAATATTCTGCTTCTATGAGAGCTAGCTTCAGCTTTCAAGGACAAGTCAGTGATACAGAAAATGTTTTCTTTCCTGTTTTACTTGCGAATATCCCTTTTAATCAAAACCGACACTTATCCCCTCCACCAAATATATAAGCAGAGAGATGCGACATACATTGGGTCTTGGTCAGCTCTCATAACGCTTTGTAATAAACAGAAAATAACACAAATGAGGGTGAACACTCAACTGTTCATTCATTGGAGCTTTTCTGGTTCTTATAAAAACTACTAGAACAAGGTTTTGTGTCTAGACAGAAAAAAAAATAGTTAAGAAATAGAACAACTTCAGTATTGCTCTCTTTTTTGTATTTCATTGTGCTGTTGCATTGTTGATGCAGAAATCAAATCTATTGTTCCACAAAAATACTCAATCATTTTTCCTTTGCTGTCTTACATTAAATCAGACCTTTTTTAAATCACTGGAGATTACTTAAATTATTTATTTTTGCTAAATTCAAGAAATTGATTCAGCCTTAGCATGGTATTAAAGTTACCAAATATGATAAGCTGGTTGGAAATCGAACCTAATGAATTAGGATTTTACTCTACACTTTATCACCTACCGTAAGTTAGATGACTCTCATACTAACGGCTTCGTACAGCCATAACTGATGGCCTGGCAGACCGTCGCCTGTGTCTTCAGGGTCACACCACCTGGAGTTTGAGGTGTCAGTCATTCTCCAACTCTCCGTGTTTCACACTGCTTACTCATAGATGTGTGATGGTGTTCCAGCAAGGTGAGCCGGCTGTCCAGGAGAATAATTGGCAACGCCTTTGCTGTCCAGTTCCCTCACCTTGTCCAGCATACACATTCCTCAAGCACACATGCCAAATTTAGCTCATCTCTCTGCAGCCCTCAAATTTAGAAGCTGCCATTCTCATTCAACTCTTAACCCCCTCATCTTTCTCTATATATTTTTTAATAATGATCTATAGGGTTTAGCTGAAGTCTGCAAGTACAATAAATGATGACTGTTTCTAAATTTTCTCCAGGAGAGATTGTGTTTACCGTCTAACCCTGATTCAGACTTGGATTAATTACCAGCTATTTTTATAATAGCCGGTAACAACTGTCTGTCCTGGACAGTAATGGAGATTTTATTTTTACATGAGCCCAGCTGCATTACCATCCTCTGCATCATGTATCAGATTCCTTCTGCTGAGGACAGAGAGAGCTGAAAAACTGAGCGCCAAGGAGACCGACTGCCGACGCAAATCCACTCAAAGGCGAATGGAGAGACTGGAGAATATGAGGGGCTTTTAGAGTGAAGAGCGACGAGCTCATCTAATGATCAGGATGGGATAGTTTGACCTTTAAATGGCCTTCCATAGGGTTGGACACATGAAACTGTAGGTAAACAGATTACTGCTTATTAAATTGATGTGATAACGATATCAAAATACAAATAGAGTATCTTGCAAGACTACCCTTGAACATTTTCAAATTGTGTCATCATATTTTATTGTGATGCCTTCCCCACAAAGCAGTGCAAGACGCCACCAGAATATCTATTGCAACACAGAGGGAGTACGGGCTACAGCAGCCGATATGGGAGAGTCGAAGCTCTATCGGAGTGGCAACAAGGAATCCACTGTTGAAGAAGTTTGACTTAAATTCCCTCAAAAGCATGTGGGAAATTTCATGGTTAAATGGAAGGAAGTTCTTTGATCTGATGAGACCAAAGTTGATTTTTTTGACAAACACGAAGCACGGTGGTGGCAGCATCAGGTTCTGGGTGTTTTTATATCATTGTAACTAGTTCTTAAAATTAGTTTTCACTTTGACATTAAAGGATGTTTTTTGTATTTTTTTGTTCAAATAAGCCAAATGTTATTGGTCATGGTTGATTTGCAAAAGCAGTAATGCATGGAAAAGGATATTTAGATTTTTTTTTAACTGTAAAAATCAGAAAAATGGAAGTGTGAATTTATAAACAGCTCCCCTGCGTGTAGCACTTGAATCGCTTTTTTCTTTCTTTGATGACACTTTCTTGGAAAACTTTTTGACTACAAATATTTGGGGACAGCTCTTAATCTGTTTTGCACATCTGCAGGCAGATATTTAGTATTCAGTGAATGCACTGCATATTTTTTAAAAGCATTCATTCTTATTTCTTTGCAGTCGATCACCCTCATCACATATCTGTCCCCTTGGACTCCTGCTGTGCTCAGTGAAAACTTCCTCTGAGCTGATATCAGTTGCCTTATTATTATTTTTTTTTACTTTGACCTTGACTTCCACACATAAATCCAAATCTGTCCTGTTGGCTACCTTCCAGAAAGCAGTGGATGCCTGAGGACATCCTGCTGTGTGCTCTGTCTTACTGCATTTATCAACATAAGTTGTTTATTCTCTATTGAAACTACAGAATCTCTAGGAGAATGCTTACTCTGATCGTATCTCTCATTATTCATGAATAAAGCCATAACCGAACTGAGTTACGAGGGACTTTTAGGGTGAAGGTCCTGGGGGAGATGCACTGCAGGTTCAAGAGTCAAAGCACCATCCTGCTTTCAATCTATTCAAGCATGAAATTGAATTAGTCAGTGTGCAACTACTGCCATCTAAAGGTCAGAGGGCGACATATTGCAGCGTTGGAGGTTAAATTTAGAGAGAAATTTGCTTGGTTTTTAATCATTACTCATGGGTGTCTAAACAAAAGCCCCACTCACACACACACACACACCCACAAGTTGAAAAGTCCACAGCTATAAAAAACAAATGTTTACTTCTGTTTGAATCAGAGCACATGTAACCTGGAAAGGTTGTCTTATACAGTGCAAGACCATCACTGAAGCATGAAATTGGAATTACTGATGGATCCATTCTGACACACACAGACACACACACACACACACACACACACTTACAGGTGCTTACAGACAGATAGTTAACTCTTTCCTGAGCCACAATGCCCACAGTCAGAAAATATTTTATTCCGCTTCACAAAATACAAAACTATATTTCGATATTAAGTGTGATCAGTCGGGTTTAAGCTTAGAATGTGGACCGTTGAAGACATTCCTCCAAGGCGTTCAGTTCCTGTAGCTCAGGACAGTGAGGACCACAGTGGAGGGAGAGTATTCGCCTGACCTTGGGAATGACGGAGAGGGCCGGGCCTCTGGCACCACTGGGAGAGAAAAAAACACACACACACAAACCTGGGTTTTCAATTAAGCGAAATAATAAAAAGGTTAAACTGGTGCAGAATCACTCAGCTGAAAATACGAGGACAAAGTATTTCCTTGACTGACCCATTGAAGTGGACCTGAACTATCTTGAAGAGCTGCTGTCCCAGTTCCAGACTGTCTTTTCCATACTGGGAGCTGATAGCTGCAGCACTTTGCTCTAGATGGGTTGCTGCATTTTTCCAGTCACCTGCAGAAGCAGTAAAAAAATAAAAATAAAATAAATAAAAATACAAATAAGAATATGCAACTTCTTAAGTCATGAATGTGCTGATCAGGATCAAAAGTTTTGTTGCTTATGAAGCTCAGATAAAGTTAAACAGTAAAGTCATTGAGTTTGGACTTTAACTGAAGTTAATAAGATATGAAAAGCAGGATTTGTTACTGTTAATGTTCTTATAAAATTTTAAAGCCAGTGGGTTTCCCTGTGGAAACAGTAGTTCACATCCCTTATCTGTAAAAAATCTCCAGTCAGTAGGTTGGGAAACAGAATCTAGTATCAGTAGTGATGCTCACAACAGCAAACGAATGGAAACCTTTTTTCATTTTTCTTTTCTCAAAATTGTTGCTCTGCAATTAAACTCCTGTTCCAGAACCTGGTTTTGAATATTGCTTGATTATAAAAGATCTTTCTAAAATCTACAAAAAATACATGCATATCTTTTCTAATTTATTTAATTTTTCTTCATTGCATCCCTCCTTTTGCTGTGTTAATCTTTTTGCATAATTTGTTGATGATATTCAGAAAATGAAAAAAAAAAAAACTGACTTTAGTAAAATGCATCCAGAAAACATAGTTACAGATAAATAAGTCATAAAAGTACACCTTCATTTAGTAATGGCAAGTTCTCTTAAATAGATGGTATCATATATAAAGGCCTTTTATAACTCTCACCCAAAGAAGCATAAGCTCTGGCAGTGGCATCAGCCAGCTCCCCCTGCAGCGGATGAGTATCTCTGAGTAGAAGTCCAGACTGACTGCTGATCTTTTTCAGGAGGTGCAGGGCTTCCACTAGGTGACAGAAGAGTGGAAGAAGGACTATTGGTAACTATGTACCTGTATGTTTAAGTCTGACGAGTTTTGTCTGGAATCTTAAATAGGAACCTGGATTTTCTTTTTCCATGAGTGCCACAGCTTTCTCCAAGGCAACCCTGAACTCCTGCAGCTTGTGGTTCACATCAGATGAGGATATTTGATGACCACATGGTAAAAGAGAGCATGAAAAGCCACTTCCTTTGTTTTTCTAAAGAAAGAAATATACACATAGCCAATATTTCAGATATTCAGTACAAATGTTTCATAGAAGTGCAAAAGAGGAACAGATCAGTAAATATCCAAAGTGAGTCATCGAGTAAATTAATATACTTTAAGAGCTCCTTTGCACTTTGTACACAGGAGTCCTGACTCGTTCCTGCTGCTCTCCCTCATCTCCTCCTCCTGGTCGCTGCAGGCCTCACACTCACACAGGAAGTAGTACTGTTCCTGCAGGAGACGCCGCCGTTCTTCAGTCCCCATCCTGTTGCTGTTGGGCCCTAAAGACATGCATCAGACATTTAAAAGTGTATTTTAAGCCAGTGACATTTTGTGATTTTTATGGGGAAAAACATGTTTTGTTAAGTGGATTGTTTGCTTTTACAAGTAAATACTAAAATTGTTTAAGAACTTCTCAAGTAAGTGGGGAATTTAGTTTAATCCCTAAAAAAAGTGCTTGGCTGTCACACAGCTCACCATAGCAGTGCAGGATCTCCTCTCCAGCATTGATATCTCTGGTTGCTCTGACCGTCACAGTGACTCCCCGGCCCTGCCATTCTTCCCCAAGGAGACGCTGATTGAAACCTACGGAGTCCTGTGAGCCAACGGGATCATCAGCGGTTCCGGTGCTGAAAACCAGACTGGTGTTGGGACGGCAGGAGTGATTGAGAAGGCTGAGAGTTGGAAACATTGCCGTGGCAACTCGAATTTCCTCCACAGACTGCACTCGAGAGTTTTCAGATCCTGTAAGAGAGAAAAGACGACAAACTATAGGTTGTGTTTTTAAACAGATTCTAGAGTCATGCACTTTAGTGCCTTGCTAAATTATTAATAACCTTGTACTTTCTATTTAGATATATTTTTCCAACCACAACTTGTGAAGTAAAAGGAAATGCCATTTGATTTATAAATTAAAAAGAGTTGTCAGGTATTTGTAATTGGCGTGAAACATGGCTCTACAAGGCACTAACTCATAACATAGGTTAAAAAAATCTACATATAGTCATGTTCACAATCATTCACTATACTTTGCTATTATACTATTACATAAAATACCAACAAAAAGTGTTTAAATGTGTGAGACTGAAAGGGTAAAAACACCTGTATTTGCTTTAGCCTGGAAAATCCCAAGCTGTAGTTGTTTATCGCGACATTTAACATGTAGGAAACTTACCTGTGTCTTGCAGTGTGATGACTGCCTGAGCATTACACCTCAGCTGCAGCATGTGCCTCAGAACTGCACTTCCCACAACCCACAGCTCTGAGCTCCACTCTGAGTCTCCTCCTTTCTTCTTTGGTCCGTCTGAAGATTGGCTGGTTATTGATGAAGCATCACTCAGCTTCCAAGATGTAGGAAGAGGACCTGCCTTGCTGAGCTTCAGGTAAAGTGTTGCCACAGTAAATGCACACAGGAGACGCAAACTAATGCTCTGATGCTCCGTATGCTGCAGCAGGTGAAACACGGTCATGTATGGATTATACTGGTCAGACTTTTTCTGCTCATCCCGGATTGTCTGCCTTGCTCTGTGGATGTTTTCAATCCCGGCCTTTAGCGTTACCCTGAGAGCAAGCTGCGCCATTACACCCATCGCAGCAAGCTCTGCTCCTAGTGGACACTCCCAGTGGTGATGCTCTTCCCAGGCTTCCTGCTGACAAGAAGCTGAGCAATATCGGCTGAAGCTGCAGCCCTTGCATGGCACGGCACATAGAGTTTCAGCCAAACACCAGTGACATCGCTTGTGCTCTGCTCCAAACATAATTTCCCTCTGTATGTCCAGCCCCTGTCCACTGTTTCCTTTAACCTTCTCAACTCCTGGAATGAGGACCCAGCTGAACGGCCTGTCGCTCAAAATCACCTCTCCAGCTGTGATCCTCTGCAGAGCCACCAGGTGGCAGCCTTTTTCCTTGCTGCATCCAACAGACACTTGGGGACAAATGCCGAATCTGAAAGCTTCACTGGATGATATTGTAAGACTTTTGCTGCATTTATCATCGTTTTTTGTTTTTACAGACACAGGGAGGTGGTTCAAGCAGAGACTACGACGGTCCTGCAGTTTGTGTGAGAGATGAGCTGGATAGCCAGTGTTCAAGGCTCTGTCGATGTCATAGAGACATTCCTAAAGAAAACAGAAGATGATGAATAAACTTTACAGAAAACTAATGAAATGACTAAATTTAAGAAAAACATTTTACAATCATAACCAAGATACCCAAACTTCAAAATGAATGATAAAGTAAAGCGGTCTGAAAGAACAGCCTGTGAATGAGCCATTAGCATTCAATTAACACCTAATTAAATGTTGCTAATTAACACATCGATCAACATTTAAAAAGCAATTTTACATTGAAAAAAGTGCTTTACAAAGAGTGAAGTGTAAAACTATGATAATATTGATATACAAAATAACACTTCAATATTTATTATGATAAATCAAGATGTGGGGTTCAGCGAGACTTCAGAATGAATAAGATGATCAATAAATGGTTCTAATTGAATTAGAAATGTAACTGCCATTCAACAGAACAGAGACATAATCACGGAATCAGATAATCACATCGCATCATTGTAACGTGAATGGAGGATAACCTGAATTTTAACTGCAGTCTTAAATGGAAACTTCCACTAACTCATGCTAAAAGATGCAGATTTGTACTTGGTCTACTAAGCAGATAAATAAAAGTATTAGTTCATTGTTCAGAGGAATATTTGAAATATAACTATATCAAGTGGTTAAAAACAATTAGGAAGAAGTTTACTATGGATAAAAACTGCAAACAGTTGGTTTAGCTGTCATTTGCATAGATAAATCTCTCAGTTACATGATTTTGCTTCAGTCTTTTGAGATTGTTTTTCTCTTCGAGTTCAAAGTTTAAAAGACTTTTAATTGCTTAATGCCTGATTTTATTTTATGTATAATTGGTTTGTCTTTATTTAGGAGTCTAATTTATAAAAATATTTGGTGTGGCATTTCATTATTCTAATTTTTTTCATCAAGCCACCATGATGTGCTCAAATCAATATGAATCTACGAGAGCTTGTTTTAAAATATATATATATATATATAAAAAAACTCGTGAAAAGCAGAGAATGATCAGCCCTACCTGATACTGTTGCAGATGGTAGAGAGCAGCAGAGCGATTGGCATAGCACAGAGAAAGCTGCTCTGAACTTTGGGGAGCAAAACATATTCCCTGTAATAGCAAGAAGTTTTCTTTGATTTCAGTTAGTGGTTGACAAGAATATACAGTTCCCCACCCTTTTTTTATAAGTGCCTTAAGACCTATATACGTAAATGTTTTGACAGTCAACCAGCATTTCAAGATATTTACCATCACACAGCTACAGGTTCACCTACTGAATACTTTAACTCTCTGAACTTCATTTACAGCAATAGTATGTGAAGCATATAGTCCTTTGTAGAACATTTTAATTCACCTGTGAATAGTGCAGAGCTGCAGTCTTGTAGTCTCTTGTCTTAAAGCAGGAGTTACCCTTTTCTCTGCATTTGGCTGCTTCTTCTGCATCTTTCTTCACCGAGAGTCCTGCAGAGATCGATTGAATTGCATCCAGATCCTGTTGGCTGGAAAACACAAAGAGACACAAAGATGCTTTTTTTATTTTTTTTATTTTCTATTTTTTACTCATGCGGCTCAGGATTTTCTCAAAACCATCTACTGGCAAGAAATTATGGGTTAATGAATTATCGTAAACAATTCAACCTGAACGTCTTTAGCCCAAACGGTCTAAGATAGCATAACTGAAACATGTAACAACGAGTCAAACTTGTTTATAAACTACAAATAGTTTCTGTTAAGAGAGAAACGTACTTTGCCAGGCTTGAAGCGCATTTAAACACATCATCTATTTCATGCAGAGAGAGAAATGTTTCCTTTAGCTCAGGATCCAGTCCACTCCATTTGTGTGCAACGTGATCTTGCCACTGCACGCACGGAAGATCCATCATGAACTACAGTGAGACTTCAAGGCACTGTATCAAAGTTTAATCATCATACGTGGAAGGAAAACCTGTATTTAGGTTTGTTTTGGGACATCCAGCATGCTGCCATTAAAACATCCTTATCAAGCTAATATCATCACTGGCTGTTCCTGGTAAGAACTTTCAAAATAAAATTCCACCTACTGTCTTGGTTTAATCTAAAAAAAAAATTCTAATTTGGGTAATTTTAGTATAATTGATTAAATTGGTTTATTAAAAATATATACCTTTTTGACGGTGCCACCATAATACACCCTGAAAAAAATGATCTATTAAATGTTTAAACAAATTACCAAGCATATTATTATTATTATTATTATTATTATTATTATTATAAAATTAGTAAATTAACAAATAAACCATAACCAAAAAGGTCCTCAGAACCAATCGCGAATGACGCTCTCTTTTATTTTGAAGGCTTAGATGTGCCATATGCGGTTATGTCTATTTTGATGTTACCTTTCTCGTTTCCTTAGCTGATCTCGCGAGAAGTGGAATCACTTGCCTGAGACTGCGCACCATAGAAGCTAATGTTTGCGAGCTTTTGAAACAACTTTGTAAAGAAGACATGACTGCGAAACTAACACAGGGGGCAGTTGAAGTAAGCTTCAAATGTATTATAACAGAATGTTTATTTTTTACCTTTAGAATAAATGTCTTAAGGTTACTTTTAATAACGGAGCGCTCCCTCCACGAATTTGCTAACGTTTGCTTGATATTTATAGATACATCGCGACTTTACATGTAATGCTCCTAATTAATACAATTGAGACAATAAATGTGTGCTCAATTTTATAAATACTTGGGACACATTATGTTTAAATCTTCCTATGAATAAAAAATTTATCCCAGAGGTACCGCGTCTGCTCTATCCCGTCATGTGGTGTTTATATACAACTTCGGGAGCGATGAGAACTAATTGATGTCCATATGCTAAATTTGTAGCATTAGCATCATAAAGTGCTAAAGAAATCAGGCTTACTAACAGGTGTGTTTTTCCAGGCCCTGGTCAAAGGATCCCATGTAGAGAATCCGGTGCTGCAGTTACTGGTGAGTAAAAGAGTGGGCACAATTCAACACGTTTTCCTTCACTGTTTATTGTGTATTTTATTGTGTTTATGTTTATATACGACTGGAGAAAAATCTTATACTTGTGGTTTGATGAATTGCATAAAAGTTTTAGTGTGACACAAAATAACAGAATTTTCATAAATTGGTATCTGTTGAATATGCACCTATTAGGTTCTTCTTGGCCAATACAATTTTCAAGTTTTCTTTAAGCTTTGATTTGTAGACTTTGCTTTTTTGCCAACTTTCTAAATTTGCTGGGTATCTATCTGGCTTCACACCTGGCCTCTGTTTTTATGTTCTCACTGGAAAACAACTAAAAGGCAGAATCAGCTAAATAAAAAAAGACTTGTCAGAACTAAATCATATTCTCTTACAATATTAGTCTCTTCATACACACTGTGGCAAAGTTCAAATAATTTGTTTAATGTCTTGTACGATTCATGAGAAAATGTAAATTTTAAATTCTTTGTTTCATCTTGCTAACTGTCTTTCTGTGTGTTTTTTAGAACATTCGTCAGATTAATACCACAGGTGTGCCCAGGTACCGCCTCATGATGAGTGATGGTCAGCACTACTTGTCTTGTAAGTATCTTAAACATTCTCAAAATGTTCTAGTTTTAATGTTATCTTTAATAAATAAAAAATTCCCTATTTTTTCTTTCTTATTTAAAAAAATAATGCATGTGTACCAAAGTGAATAACTGTATTTCACTATTTATGTGTACAAGAATATAGTCGTCTATATGTGAAAATGTTTGCATCCTCAGTGGTCTTATATTGGCCGTTCAAGCTATATAGAAGTTCATGTTCGGGTTATGTAGTCTTTTCAAACTGGCTCATTATCCAGACTAAATAATTAATTTTCTGCAATTGATCAGCCTTAATTTGTTTACATATGTTTCTGTGTCCAGCCTTCCTGATGGCCACCCAGTTGAACCATCTGGCAGAAGAGAACCTCCTTGTACCACATTGTGTGTGTTTGTTAAAAAGGATGACCAATAACACTTTGTCAGATGGCCGGTATGCGTTTCCTCTATTTGTAGTTTTAAATCGATTTCTTTTTTTATACTACAATATTCTAAAGTTTAAAAATATATTTGTTTTCTATGGAATTAAGTTATTTGTTTTCTGATGAGAATAATTTTAACATTGCTCTTAACAAGCCAGCATAGTATTAAAATGATTAATTCGAATCTAAATATGTTTTTTTCTTGTTTAGGCACGTGGTCGTCGTCGTGGACATGGACGTCTTGAAGTCAGCAGAAGAAGCTGGAGGAAAGATTGGAAATCCCACCTCATATTCAACAGATGGTATAGTTCTTTTAATGGTTTGTGGCTAAATATAACAGCAGTAATGTAGGGCATTACTGCTGTGAGTGTTGATAGATGACAGATGGTATTTGATTCACCTGCAGGCAAGCTGTCATCTCCAAATAAGGTGTCATCAACCACCTCGGAACCATTGTCCACTTCAGCCGCTGAGCTACCTGGACCATCCAACAACAGCAAAGGTGAGGAAGCATGAAGGGTCTGTATGTTTCGACTTGGTGTCATAGGTTGGCTTGGAGCTTGATTATAGCTTACAGCTAATAAAAACCCAAAATTAACTTTGACAGAAATTTAGAGTATGAAATACAACCAATGCGCTAATCAATATTGAAACATGTCTGTGTACTTAATACTTGGTCAGCACTCCTACAGCAGGAATTGCTGCATTAATGCAGCCTGGAATGGAAGTGACCAGCTTGTAGCTCTGCTGAGCTCTTGAGGAAGCCAATGTTACTTTAACAGGAAATAGGTGACAGGATTTATACACATAAAAGGAAACTCAGGTAGGGAAATAAAATTAGGGCTATGTACAAGACTTAATTATTCCCTTACATAAAAAATAATTAAATGAAATAATTGCAACCCTTTATATTCACAAAGGGTTGCAATTATTTACATACCCTAATTTTGCCAACAGAGGGAGCCATTGACCCTTTGCGTTTTTGGAGCTGGTGTATGTTTTTAACTTATTGGATTTTCTCCATATTGGCTGCGTTCTGATTATAAAACCACAAAACCTTTACAGAAAGATTCTTATCCAAAAAGTAGCACTACTGAGCAAAACATAAAGGCATGTTATTTAATTTCTTACAAAGCCACTTCTTTTATCATAGATATTTTTTCAAATTCTTGTAGAAGTAGGATCACAAACCCCCGTGCTGATATCAGTTTTTTCTTTTCTAAATAGATATTGGTATTCATTTATATTTACATAACCTGATCAGTTGGTTTTAACAATGCAAAACGCCTGAATGATGGCTAATTTCTTTCTACCATGGATGGTGCTCTGAATTATACCTAATGTGTCCCATTCAGGATCAGATCCTCTCTTATTAGCTTAGTTGGTGCTTCAGCCAGTAGTTTTTCAGCTCCTGCTGCTCTCAGCATTAACATTGCTTTAGTTGTGAGGCAGGAACATACCCAGTCGTCCTCCTCAATAGAAGATGTAGGAGGGTGGGTGGGTATAATGAGTTCCTGATACATTGTGTGTTTGTGTAGGCGGTTGTCCACATAACATGTGTGTGTTGTGACTGAGGGAGCATGTGTGGGCTGATGGCTTCTTCAGTTCATGGCTTCCTGTATGTTGTGTTAAGGACTGGATTCCCCTGTAGCAAAACACAGACGGGAGGGGAAGAGGGACAGACACGTCTAATTTGACTCAGCAAAGATGAGGGTTAGCCTTTCCTCGTTATGGTGCATCCTTTGATCAGTGTTACCTCAGAGGTCCCAACGGTTCGAGAGAACCTGCTGCTATGTTTACCTGTTGTGCTGACAACATTGTCTGCACTGTTCTTTATAACCAGAATAACGAGCTTTATGTGAAGACAGCATTTTATCTTTGTGGATGTGACCTAAGCTTTATTATTTTTCCCATATTTTCTAAATTATATTTTCACATTAAACATTATTTAATATCACAATTCGATATTTCAATGAGCTTTGGGAAATCTAAAGACATCAGCTATTGCAATTTGACCGGAAGCTCTGAATGAAGCAACGCTCTGAGTCACATGTAGTGAACTTGACTTCTTGCCTCTTTCACTTACTTCTTTCTCTGGTACCCAAGTTCCTCTAAGCCAGAATGTCTAAGAGAAATGTCAGAAGTTTCCTCTTTAAAACATTGCAGTAATTAGGTGTTTGTCATGTGTAAGTAAATAATTAAGCTTGCAGTCTAAGGCAAAGAGTGCAGTCAGATGAAATGCACATCTCAGCTTCCCCAGAGTGAGGAAATTATGAATTAAGAAATTAACTGAAAGCTGCTGTGACCGGCTATTGATGAATAGCAAAATAGAAATGAATCTAACAAAAGATGTATTTTTTTCTTTAAAGGGAAGGGGGATATGTCATCTTAACTCCACACTTCTGTCTATTCATCAGCATCAGCAGCATTTATGTTGTGTTTATACATGCCATGTTTAAAGAGGGGTATTGTGTATGTACTATATGTACATATAATAAAAATCGGAATATTTTGAATCTTTATTTTAACAAATAAATTTCACAGATGAAATTAGTCTGTTTTAACCCTTTCGATCATTGTGAACATATCATACCACCTGGTTTTAAAGTCTCCACAGCTTCCCTGCTAAATACATTTCTCATTTTGTGTACTTTAAAGTTTATGAATGCTAATTTATTTGAAATGCCTTTGTGTTTTATCAAATCCTGAGCCACGATATCAATATTCAACAATGACTTTTACTGGCAGCGACTGTAAAGTCAAAGGTCACGAAACGGTAGTTACAAACACATCTGTGCCTCCATTTAAATATTCATCCGTAGCTCTCGCTTGAAATAGGCCGACTTTCAAATGGCTCAGCACATTTTATTTAAATTTTAAAAAGAGGTCTGGACCAGGTCAGGAAAAGAAAAGTTATTGAATATTCATCACTAACTATTCTTTGTCTTCAAATGTCTTTTTCTCACATGTCTGACAGCTTCTGTTGCTTGTAAAGGATCATGTGGTTAAACTGAAAAATCATGAGAAACAATAATTACAAGTAGTAATTAATTTCAAGCATCTGTAGCTCGTAATTTTCATGATTACTGTATTCAGTTTTCAGAAAATGTGATGAATAAATTCTTAATTTATTAATAATTATTAGACCAATAAATAAGATGTTTAATTCAAGTCTGCTTGACATATGTAATTGGTACTGTTCTTGCTATGCCACAGTGATAAACCTTTAACTCGATAGAGGGGCTAAGCCTAAGTCACTTTTGTTGGGTTTTGTTTCTCTCTGTGGTGTTTAGGTAAGGTTGAGGGCTCTGTTTGCAATGTGGGCATTTGCCAGGCATTGCTGGGAATATGAAATAAACTTATCCATAAAGTTTATCAAAGAGAAGCATAAACACCTGTGGTGACTTTGGACTTGACAAAGTGGACCAAAACCAGGAGAGAAGATAATATGGCTCACCTGTGGAAACTGCTGCAGCCTCCCACATGATCTCAAGTTGCTTGCAAGTTCCTGGAGTACATTTTTTTCCCTAGTTTTTCCTTCCACTCAACTTTCTACTTGTATATTTAGATTTGCACAATGAACAGCCAGCTTTTTGATGTTTAACCGGTTGATTAGAGGGTGTCAGTGATTGTCTGAGTGTGTCGAGTCTGAGCTCCTCCCCGTGATTGGTCATAATATATCACTATTAAAAACCCTTTCCGTTTGTTTTGTACACCAGAGGAGTGGGGTCTGCTTTTGTTTTGTCCCAAACAGTCCATTCACCAAAATGCTGTTATGGTAGATCTCAAATACCAACAAAACCAAAGCATTGCATCAAAAGTATGCTGACAACAGCTAACTGTTTGGTTTGAATCATTCTGATTGGGCTGATGCTGCTTTATTGTAGGAGGTGAGATGACGCCATATGAGATTGTGGGATGGACCAAACTGTCTTCTGGCATTTCATCTGTTCAAAGGAACAGAAGAAAAGAGCTCAGCAGTTCTTCAAACTAATTTCATCTTTACTCTTTTATGATTTATTTACATCATAGTTGAACAGAGATTGGCACATACTTTTGTATGTTTTTTTCTGTCTCTACAATTTTAGATTCAGCTGAAATGTAGCTATTTAATTACCTGTTCTTAACTAGAAGCATATAAATTATTTTATCTTCAACCTGACTGCAAGTGTAAGGAATGTCAGTGTTTAGTTTATGAGGACGCAGTCCAGGTTTTAATAATTTAGCAGATGAATATGTTTTGGCCTACGTAATTCAGACAGCTAATATAAATTGTGCTTCTTTTAGTTAAATTCACATTTCAAATCAAATGCTTGTCTGGCTTCGTTTTCCCCTGACCATTTTTTTTTTTTTTTTTTTTTTTTTTTACCTACTAAGGACGGGGAAAAGGTTTCACTGGAAAAGCTCCTGTGAAGGCTTCACCAATGATGACCTCTCCCATGAAAGGGTCACCCATGAAGGCTTCACCAATGATGACCTCTCCCATGAAAGGGTCACCCATGAAGGCTTCAACAATGATGACCTCTCCCACGAAAGGGTCACCTATGAAGGCGTCCACCAGTTCACCAGGTTCTGTCCCAAAAGTGATGCCTATCGCTACCCTCAACCCGTACAACAACAAGTAAGTCTACCTGCCGCTTTGACCTCGTTTTCCATATATTTGTTTGTTGTTTAAACTATGTATTACACTGTTGAAAAATACTGTACTTCCTCCTATTTTCATATCAAACTGTATTCATTTGTTGTTTCACTCTTGGATCATTTTCATCATTGCTCAGCAATCAGCCACAGTATGTTCTCTGATTTTGTGGCTGGTTCGTTTTTGCTGCCATTTCTCTGAAACACTGTAGGGCATTTTTGAAAACGTGTGTCGGTGCATGCATGTGTAAGCATTTCTTTTTTATTATTTTTATACAAATGTGAGTGGCTGTGTGGACTTGAGCGTGTGCATGTATTTCAATCCATTTGCATGGAAATGAAATAAAATGACTGATCTTGCCTCAGAAATGGATTCTGTTTTTTTAAAGGCAGGTACTGCTGGGTCTTTATGGGCTGCTGCTGAGGTTTTGATTCTGTTATTTGGCCCTTTGGGGATTTGGCCAACCTTGTCTGTGTCCCTTTTCCTTCACTCTTATATTTTCTCCTCAGAGTGTTTAATTTCACTTCTTTTTTAAAATCTTTTTGTTAAACATTTGTTTTTGGCATTTAGTGCAGTTGTTTCTGTTTCAGAACGGTTGTCCAGATTAGAGCAAAGGTACATTTTTAACTCTCCATGTTTGTGCTCTGATAACATAAATGTGTGTGAAATTGCAAGCTACAAGATAATGTGCCTGTAGGTGTTGTAATAAACTGATGACTGTTCTTGCTTTGATGTTGAGAAGGACCCATGGTGAGTGAAACAGATGGTGTCAGCAGTTGTGCTTCATGCAGGAAGGCTTGAGTGGAAAAAAAGTTAAACATTTTTGCCTGAGTTGGACATATTGCAGTTATACTTCTTTTGGCCATCTACTTTGACTTCTGGCTGTCGTAAACCCGGGTGTGGCGGTCCTCTCCATATCGTGCTCTCTCTGGATCATCCTCATAATTGGGGGTTTATTTGCATAAGTTACATTGTGTTCTTATTCTTGCTTAAGCAAGAATAAGAACTATATTTTTTTAAATGCATATATTTATAAATGCATTCAGTTGTTTGTAGACGTACCAAGTTTGAACTTTGAGGAGAAAGTTAATTTTCCTTTCTTGAAACTTTAAAAGCTTTCATTCCCAATTTCTTTGAATTGTTTAATGATATGCAGGGCCTGAAATTCACTTGTGGATTATGGGTATTGCATATTATAAAATCAATTCCTGCAAATTTTGTTTTTATAATTGGGAAATTTCCGCATACAGATGAATGGTGTAATAATCACCATTGGAGCCATAAACTAAAATGAAGAACACTTATAGCAGTCTCCCTTTCTCTCTCATGGTGTCATTCAGCCGGACAGTGATCTGTTCACCAGACACAAAATTAACATGGTCATCTCACCAGATCTGAATATTATAGGAAACATTTGAAGGAAGAGAGCCTGAGACTCTGGATCATCATGGGCAGTGATTGTAGACTCAGACTTTAAGGACCAGTGTCTCTCATGTTTAGACGGGCTTTTGGCCTTATACAGCTGAATAAATTACTAAATTAACTGTTGAATATAACATCAAGTTTGGTCGGGCTTTATAATGAATCATTCATTTTAGTCAAGTGTGCTGAACCAGGCAAACTTCTAAGACAGTCTGAGAAATTGTGCAAACAGAAATGGTCAAATGTCTCTATTACGATTCTTTTGTTTTTTGTTTAAGGAATGGTACAAAATGTTAAAGTGGTTCGGTGTTAGTAAATAATCATGTGGATATGTTTTGAAAGTGGCTTTATGGATCCATTTTGAGGAAGTTCTTCAACAAAAACCGCCTACACCTCACCCTCTATTAGCATCTGCTGCCTACAAACTGATCAGCTTTTGTACCATTTGCCTCTAGGTGGACTATCAGAGCCAGAGTCACAAACAAATCCAATATCCGCAACTGGAGTAACTCCAGAGGGGAGGGCAAGCTCTTCTCCTTTGAGGTCGTGGATGAGAGTGTGAGTAGAGATGTGCTAACGTTTGTTTGTATTGTGCATGTCACACATGGTGGTGTTTTTGCTTTATCCATGCAATATGCCTTGCTGGTCAACAGGGTGAAATCAGGATCACAGCCTTCAACAATGAAGTGGACAAGTTTTTTGCTCTGTTGGAGCAAGGCAAGGTGAGGACATTCATAAGAATCCTTTACATAATAAGAGCTTTTTGTTATATAAAAATATAATATTTTGAGTGTTTTGCTCCTTACTGGTTCATGAGTTGCCAGAACTATTCAAACCCATACTTCCACATAGTTATTTGCTTTTAGATTGATTGAAATCTTTGTCATCAGTGAATCACTGCCATTTTAAATCTATTCATAGGATAAGTTTTTTAGGTAATATAAGGTGACTTGCTGACTGCAATATAAAAAAACCTTCAATAGAAATGTTTTTTTTTTTTTTAGAAATGACTGCTAGTCTTGCTGTTTCAGTTTGTAAGGATGCACAGTGGGTACTGTGGTGGCAGAGCATGCAGATGAGAGGATTGGCATAGATGTGCTGCGATGCACTGCTGTGATTTAAATGACTTGTAACACCTGTTTCAGGAACAGACAATAAAAATCCTGGATTCACTAAATATTCCAGGTATTTTTACAGCTTTAATGCATTTTCAGGAAGCCCTTTTGAATATAAAAAGTCAGCAAGCTTCAATGGTAATATATTTTCTCTTCTGTAATTTATTTTGTCAAATAATTAGGATTAAGATTGTTTCTGTCTAAGATTTCTGAATATGTAATACTTGCAAATTAGTGATTTCTATGTAATGGTAAAGCTCCCATTTTACCTGAGCAGCTATATCATCTGACAATGATCCAGTGGATCAATTCTACTGGATTTTTATTTTGAAGGTTTAAAATTGAACAAAAGACTGATAAAGTTTGAGGTTGATAATTTTCTATTAACGTTGTCCTGATATTGTTTGTTTTTTTATTCTCATTTAAAACATCTTGCTTGTTAAAATATGGATAGCTTATGATTTTCATTTTTCATTTTAATTTGTCTGTGTATTTTGAAAGGCCCAGTATGAGTAAAAATGTTACCAAAAATGCTTTTTAAACTGTGTCTGCATCAGTCACCTGGACTAATGAGTCAAATTTTTATATTAATTAAGGGAAAAGCAGAAATTCTGGTTGATACTGACTATATTTATTATTGTTAAAGCCATCATCACAAATTTTCCTCCACTTTTTATAAATCTAAGCATTTTGTGTTTGTGAATTGTAATGGAAACCTTTATGTGCCCCTCACTCCTTTTTTCCCCTTTAGATTATCTGATCTTATATTATACTATTTGTATTCAGAGCATCACTGCACGTCCTTGAAAATACAATGACCTACACAATATTATGTTCAAATCATCCTTTGAGATTTTCAGAATGGACACAAAGATATTGTGACAATTACAGATAGATACATTGTTTAGCTCTACTTTCTGCTATTAGCAGCTGGAATATAAATTGAAAGTCATTTATATTTGGAGATACTGTGTGCATTTCACCTTGCTCGTCAATGTGCAAAAGGGCAAGCTACTCTGCTTTTGACTGATTTATGCTAATTTTATTTTCCATTTGAGATTGGCCCTCCAGTTCACAGCAATTACATTTTTGTGCCAGTTCTGTTGTTGGCTTGTCTGACTGTTGCTGTGCTGACTTCAATCTGCTCTAATATACCACTCATCCTGCAGTGTTTTGTGCTTTACATTTTGAATATCAATAAGAAGTTGAAGCACTAAGCTGGTCAAAACAGCACCTGAATACATTAGACACTTTTTTATAGCCAAAATTATTTCTGAAGGAAAGATAAATCTGTATGAGAACAAGCAGAAGGTCTACAGGAATGTTTTATTTAATCAAATAATGCCAAGCTAAGATCTCCCGTTGACCCTGTATCTATTTGGATTTGCATTATTAACAAACTTTTAATCTTTTCTTGGCTGCTATAAGGTTTTGCTTTTTTTTTTCCCCTTGTACGTACACGAATGATGATATCCATCAAATACAGCTCCCCTCGGAGAATGTCAGCATCAGTGCTGACCCCAACAACATACACTATCAAACTGTGTGTCTGTGATCATTCAGACACCCTCGCTGCTGAGGGACTGAGTACTAGGAGATCTCCTCCCAAAAATCTCTGAATTTTTATGACCTTATTCGTCATTTTGATGGACAGGGAGAAAGCACTACATGGCATCATTTTTTTTAAATAGCTAAAAATGCCATCCCAAAAGTAACTCAGTCAGAAGTGTCTGTAACTACAAACAGTCTCATTGCACTACAAGCCTCTCTTCTTTTCAAGTGCATAGTTGGGGAATCAAAACAATAACTATTTTTTTTTACTGACAAAGCATTTGCTTTTATAGACCCTGAGGTCTATAAAAAATGTTTGCAGAAACCTAAGCCAGAGGATGTTGGTTCATGACCTTGCAACAGTAAACATTGGCATTTATTGTCCTATAGAAAAAAATTATGTTTTCTACCGCCACTTTCTGTTACATAACTCTTACTGCCCTCTGAACTGACTACATTTATGTCAAAAATTCATTAAAGGTTATCCTATCATTCATAAGAAACGGGTAACGGCAACCTTAAGAGGAAACCTCAGTTCCACATTAAGCTTTGTTTGACTTTTCTGTTTCACCTTGTGTTACAGATGGACTCAGACTGATCATCTTCCTATACTAAAAGCTGCTTGTAGTGTCTGTCAGTAGCCCATTTAAAAAAAATCACCAGCCATTATGCCACATTAGAGCAACTGAAATAACCAATTAAAATCCACCATGTAGGAAATGGTGACCTTTCATTGCATTGTAGTTACAGGCTGCTGCAACATGACTTGAAAATTATATAGCACATTTGTGGTGTTTCGTATTAATAGAAACAGTTTTAAGATAACGTTGACATATTTTTAATATACTTGGCTGTTCTTTAGTGGCATGGAAAAAAAATTTAATAGTATTACAAGTGCATCTTGGAAAAAAATTAGAATATCATGGTTGATTTGACTTATGAAATTGAATTCAAAAGCAAAAAGTTGTATTACAAACCTTTACACCCAAATGATGTGAAGATTGTGCACCCAAGCCTATTAAAAGATTTGAGGAAATGGACTAAAAGAATTGTTACAGGTCTTCAGAGCAACAAATTCATGCATTTTAGTTGGAAATCAAGATCCCAGAGTCAGAAGGGAAATTAAAAGTTCCTATGGGAAGTTTCCACAGTCGTTGATAATTTGCAGTGATCTGTTGTTGTTGGTCCAGTGTGTTTAGTTTATCCCAGGACACTGCAGTCCATCAACAGTAAGAAACCCAGTTAATGGAAAAAACAAACCTGATTTGTTTTTTTACTTTGTTTTTTTTTTTTTAAAGGTGGAAGCAATACTTACGAAAACTTAGATTAAATTAAGAACTGAAATAATATAACTGTAATTAAATGGTGTATGAATTTCTTTGTTACTAAAGTAAATTTACTTTTCAATGATATTCTATCTCATCTGCACCTATATAAAGTTTAAACTGCCAGTTTTGGCTACCATGGGCCAAAAAACATAAGAGCATGACGCTTGGAAATGTTCTGTCCCCATACTGCAAACACTAATGCTGTTTGCATTGCTGTAGATGTGTGGGATTACCAGCATGATTTATGGCACTTGCCCACCAAATTCATCAATTAACCCTGGTCAATATTTTGATTGTCGAATTAACTCTGGCATCAGCCTCCAACAGTGATTCCTTAACTTAGACCTAGATCCAATTTGTGCCCTCTGCCCTCCAAATAAATGAGTGGTCTTTATGTTCTTCATGTTCCAAGTGTTGACAGACCAAGCTGGAGTGTGTGAGAGGCTTGAAGCAGTCATAATACTACTTACAGAAGTTTCCTGCTCCTCTGTGTGAGCTAAATGAAAACGGAAGGAAAGGCAGGAAGGAGCGAAGGAAAGGAAAGATTCAGAGAAACAAACCCAGAGGCAGAGAGAGAGGTGGGATATTGGAGCCTTGAGAGTGTAAATGAAGAAGAGTGCCTAGCAGATTGAGTTTAAATTATGCTGTTAAGCAGAGTCACTCTCAACTGCTGCTTATTTTCTGGTGAATTAGAGAAGTGATGGGGCTGATGGGGACACTGGGCCTCAGTTTGACCCGAAGGGTTTTCCATTCTTATGAGGAAGTTTTGCTTGAACAGAGGCTGTTTTTGTAGAGTAAATTTCCTTTGCGGGTTGATCTGTCAGTCTCTTCATCGTTTCCTCAATGTGTTTAATTAAATCTAATTTTATAATGTTGGTGCATTTTGCTGACCCGTTTCTTTTCTCCAGGTGTACTACATCTCGAAGGCGACTCTGAAGGTAGCCAACAAACAGTATACGACACTGAAGAACGACTACGAGATGACCCTCCACGCTCATTCATCCATCGTACCTTGTACGGACAGTCAGGATGTCCCAGTAATGCAGTGTGACTTTGTGCCCATTGGAGAGCTGGAAAACCGAGACAAAGACTCCATCGTTGGTAAGGAACACTGCTTATAAATTCAGCCTAAAAAATATTTCCTCTTCATTTTTAATAAATACAACATCAAGCAACCATGTTAAAATTAAGTGTTAAAAGGTTTTTTCAAAGTATTTTGATGATGAATATTAGTTATTGTCTGCTATCATAACCCTATTAGTGATCTTTAATGCTCTAACAGGAGAATTAAGGATAAATGCAAAGTTAATTAAGTTTTTTTTAATTTATGTTCCTTCATTCCAAGTTTCATGTCTGATTATTTTTTCACTATTTTTTTTCAGCCGTTCTACTTATAGTTGACAAAATATTTGCGTTGACAAAACTTTATTTCATGAGTTTAACTTTTAATGGAACAATGACTAACCAATCAGATTTTATGTAAGTTTCCCACGGTAACGCAGATCGCCTCTCTTGGTCCCACCCATCGGATCATTTGAAAGACTGAATGTTTAACTCACACCATTTAAACAAAGTTTGACATTTCTCTGAAGTAAAAAAATAAATATAAACTGTGCATCATTTCCCTACCGACATGTAAGGACTACTTGCACTGTTCCCTTTTGCATTTGGCAATGACTAAAGTAGCAACATTTAACACAGGAGATACGGTCTCAGTGGGAAAATATTACTTTTATTTTTTCTTCCCATGTCTTTGACAGATGAAGTTCTTTTAAATTGATATTGACATTAGTACCAACCATTATGTGTTATCATGATAATCAAGAACATCTGCCTTAGATTCATGTTTGACAGAATTGCATGCAGAATTTGCCACTTACTAGAATAACAAGACGACCACATAATTGCAAAGGCAAAGTAGTGAATGCCATCACATCATATCAGTTCACATCTTAGAGACTCACTGAGTAGTTAAGGTAAAGAAACATGTTTGCACTGTTTATGTACGGCCAGTGCTCCACATCCTAATCTGTCGTCTCTCCTGTTTCCCCTCACTGATCCTTCCCACTCTATCCCTTTGTTAAATATGGGATTATAACATAGTAATGAGAACTGTCAGCCTGTTCCTGTTGTGATAATGGAGTTCATAGGTGGATGACATCGTTTCAATCATAATGGAATTAAGCGAGTCTGAGAGAACACTGACAGAGAGCAAACGCAAGGGATGAAGGAGTGGGCAAGAATTTAGATAAAGGTTAACAGAAAGTGCAGAATGAAGAAAAGGGTGATTTGCAAAGCCGGTTTTAGGATATTGGCTGCTTATTTAATGTATGGGGACCAGCCGTGGCAGACAGTTGGCTATCACAAATCCGTAAGGCTGGTTGAGATTTTGGACACTCGTACCGAAGGGCTTTGTTTCTTTTACATTCTTGTTTGTATCATATTGCATACAAATGGAGGCAGAGATATTTTTATTACTATGCATGTAGGACTGATAGTCCTACATGCATAGGTCCGGTGTGTCAGAAAAAGTTCAAGAAAGAGGGAAATGCAATATGGTTTAATTTAATTTATGCTAATTATGACAGTTATTAAGAAACAGGTTTTTCCTAAAAAAATAAGGAAGGAATTTTATACATAAATATGTTTAAAGTAAGACTTTAGAGGACTGTGTTTATGATTGATTAAGCTTTAGGTAAATAAATAAAAAATCTGAGAAAAGACTACTTGTGTAGGAACTGCACATTAATATTTGTCTCCTTTTATTTTAAGCCACCTTGTAAGATTCCTCTTTGATTTATGATGAGCTCTTCACCAATTCATTTGAATTATGCTGTTGTGCATTGTAGAGCCATGTCTTCTGCAGTCTCTGCTCTTCAGTTGTGTAATCCTGAATGAAGTGTTAAAGCCTTGAACGTGATGGGAAACATGAATAAGAAATGAGTTAGTTTGTTGTGATTTCTGAGTAAGGAGCAAGAGTTAGCTAGCCTGTTGTGATGTTATTATTAATTCTCCTGATATTTGATGGATTTGCCAAAGCTTGATCTTTTCTGCATAAAGTCAGGCTAGAGTACAACCCAATTTACACCAACACTAATTAGAAAGATCAGAAACATTCCTTACATGTTTCCTCTATTTTTGTTGAGAAGTTTACATTCAGTGCAGATCATCAGCATGAAGATTACATACATTTTTGCCTATTAGCTATTCTTTCGAACAGTTTGGTTAAACTTTTTTGATTTTTAAACAAAAATAAAATTGTTCGTCTTGTTTATAGTTGTCCTGCAGAAACACCCTGATTTTATCTGTTAATTTGTGCTGAAATTTGAGAGTTTTGAGGTCAGCTCTTTTCCTTCATTGTTCCATCAACCTTGTGCAATAAATTAAGATCAATTGCACCAAAACAGACCCTCAGCATGATGCTGCCATCTCCTTCATAGAATCTGGCACTGATTTTAGAGCCTTTGTTTTCTTAGCATGACATCTGCAAACTTAATTTGTCGTCTTGTAATCAGTTGAAGTTTTTGAAACCTTTCTCAGTCCATGGTGATGTAAAAGTGGTTTTGTTCTGGACCCCGTAGCGTCGCATGATTGACAGCGTTAAGACCCTCCCCCTTGCTCTGATTGGTTGTTTCTAGTTGGCTCTGGGAAAACACAGGGGAACTGATTTCTTTTTTTTTTCTTTTTTTTAACAGATTATCTGTCTCTCATAATGTTACAATATAGTGATGTTTTCAACAAATGTGTAAAAAAAATTACGATTTTTTTTTTTAATTTTTTTTTTTATTTTTATAAAAGTTACATATTACAGCTTTCCTGCTGATATGTAAACTTCTCACCGGAACAGTGTTTGCTTTCCTGTCTTTGTAAACTATATGTCAGGAGAGATTTGATTGTGTGCCTTTAGATATAATTGGAGTGTGCAACAGTGCAGAGGATGTATCCCGTATCACCACTAAGACCAGCAGGGAAGTCTCCAAGAGGGCCATCAGCCTAATAGACACCACTGGCAAAGTGGTGACAGTCACACTGTGGGGAGAAGAGGTAAGAGCTATAATCTCCCTCCCTGTATGCATCCATGACTGGATTTATAATGCATCATAAAAACACATTGAGCCAACTGTAATTAACTGGGTTTTTGAAGGAGCCCATGCATTTATGCATCTGTGATGTGTGGGTGGTCTTGCATACAGAGCACTTTGATTTGCTTTTCTGGGCTGTTGGATCGTTTAAATCACTCTTGTGACCTTCAGTGCTGTGTTGGACCAGACACTCTGATTTGACACATGGGGCTAAAATGGCACCATCCTTCTCCAAGCTCATTTGATCAGCCCAAGCTAATCCGTCCTCTTTACCAAACTCTGGAAATGAGTTTAAAATGAACTTGTAGTTTGCCTAATTATTAAAGTAAACTTTAGCTGATATTCCAGTGGCTAAAAGTTGGAGCCAGAGATTAACATGTAAGACCTCTCTCTCTTTCTGTCTCCCATTCTGTCCACTATATCAGTCTATGACGTCTTTTTCTGTTTCTTCTCCAGGCGGAAAAGTTTGACGACTCCGGACAGCCTGTTGTTGCTATCAAAGGAGCTCGCTTGTCTGATTTTCGAGGCATATCTCTCTCAGCTTTGTTCAGTTCTACAATCATGGTGAACCCAGATTTACCCAAAGCCTTCATACTCAGGGCCTGGTGAGTCGCGCTGATGTACACTGACAATCACACAAGCTGATAATCACATACAGAAATATGTCCACAAATTACAGATTTTCTAAGACTCTGTCACTGATTCTGCTCAAGACAAGAAAGAAATATCTTTCTACAAAACTCTTAATCATTTTTGAAATCTCACACATTTTGCCACGGTAAAACCTCAACCTTCAGTGGGATTTGCGCCCTTGACCAACACATAAGTAACACAAGTTTTAAAAATTATTCTTTGTTTGTCATTTTTTGGATTTAGCTCTTTGAATTAATAATTTGTAGAGCCACTTCTCTACACAGTCCTGGTTGAAAATCTTAGAAAGTATTTCACCCAACAGACTTGCACATGTAGACATTGAATCCCTCCCCATATTGAATGGCAAGCCTTGCCACAAATTCTCATTTTGATGTAGGTCTGAACTTGAACTGTACCGTTCACATTTAGGGTCATTGTGATTCTAGAATGGGAACCTTTGACCCTGCTTCAAGTCTTGTATAGTCTCTCATTAGTTTGTTTTGCATTTAATCTCCATCTTCCTATCAACTCAAATGATGAGTTTGAGTTAATATAGTCACTGCCACATTTCACTGATGCAGATGGTGTGGTCAGGGTCATGCACAGTTGTATTTTTCTGCTGCAGAGCATTTTGCATACATTTCCTGTCTGCAGATTTTCCCACCTGCGCTGTGGATGCCTGCAGTGCCTTCAGAATTACCAAGAGCCTCTTGACAGTTTTTCTGACAGTTTTGACAGCCACGTCCTCGTCAGTTTGCACTGGTGTCACACGTTTGCCATTAGCAGATAATTTATTGAACAGTCCTCCCTGGATCATCATTTATTACCCAACCCTGCTTTAAACTTTTCTGCAACTTTCTGCCTGACCTTTCTGGTGTGCTCCTTGGTTGTCATGACAGTTTTACTTCTCTACCATTTTTTAACAAACGCCTTACGCCCTCAAAGAAGACAGTACTTACCGAAAGAACATGCACATGTTGATGTCTGAAGAAGTATTTTAGCTGCAGATGCATCTTTTGGTACAAAGGGTCAAGCATAAACTAAAGGAATGCTAAAAAGCATCTAAATTTTTTTGGCATTTTAAAATTGTTTAAATGACAAAATAAATGAAATAATTTTGTCATTTATTTAAAAATAAATTCAATTATTTGCATTTTTCATGCAACGCAAATATTGTACATAATAACCTTAAGTTGTTAAATGAAAAATCTCAAGAATATATATTTTTTTTTAAATCAAATGACTTGATATTCAATGGCATACTCAATTACTAATATGATTACCTGCAGCCCTACTAGTTATTCTGTGTTTGTACTACAGACACTTGGTGGCTCTGTTTAGGTGTCTTGATAACTCGTTGCACTGGGTTTTTGGGGGCTGAATGCAAAAGCACTCCAAACTTTTTATATGTACAAAACTGAGTATCATTTTCCTTCCACTTTGCTATTTTGTGTTGGCCTGTAATCTAAAATCCCATGTTTGTAACTTTACAAACTGAAAAACTTAAAGGGGTTTGAAAACTTTTTAAAGACTATACTAATTTATAATTTTGCTGTGTGGTCAGCATATCCTAAAAAATAGGATATTATAGCCAAACCTAGAACTATTTGTAATACGCACACCATAATAAGCAAACAGAGGTGGAAAAGCCCCGATTAGTGTCATGAGACCGTTGATTTGTGCCGCCCGAGTCTCAGCGGGTTTCTAGTCAACATTGGATTGATGGAATACCAGAAGCGGATATTTATTCCTGGATTCCAGCTCTGAACTGCTGCCGCCTGTTCTCTAAAGCTCGTTGAGCAGGATCAAACTGGATTCCTATTAGCAGCTCCTGTGGAGGGATTTTGAGTTATGACTCATTCACTTATTAAGACTGTTCCTAATTCTGGCCACAGGGGGAAAAAAAATTGCATTTTGGATTTTTTTTCCTGTGTGTGTGAAAGAATGCATGAGTTTCTCTTAAAAGCAACAGTGAGCCATCAAGCAGCTTTAAAGTTAGAAAACAGGCTAACAAAGGCTTTTGTTTGTTACTTGACGGAAGCATTTGGTCCTTTTGTAGTTCCAGTTTAGGTTTTATTCATCCAGCAATTTTATTTTTCACAACCTTTACGTGACATACGTAACTAATGCTGATGCTCAAAAGTCTGAATGGGACTTTCTTCCTGTCTTCACTGCCTCCATTCTTCTCTAATCGCTGACGTTTCCCGCCGATCTGCACTGTCGTTTGGTTCTCCTTTCTGCATTTTTGCTGGCAGCAGGAAGTTTATTTTCAGGAGGTAAAATGTTTGCTGCGTTTTCATTTAGCTTTTTCAAAGAGAGCATGTATTTTACTTTATTTTTGTGTTGCAATGAGCAGCTACTTTTTATTATTAGGATAGGGCTTGGTTTCATAAATGAAGAAAACTGATTTAATCTCAAGTATGCTTTTATTGGCCTACTCAACCTGAACACAGAGGAATAAATCACTGCTGAAAGAAGGTTTTTGGTAGATTAATGAAAGGGAAGAGAAATTAAAAGATACAGAGCATTCCCAGAATAAAAAACAAGCGTTATAATGTATAAAAATAATACGAAACGATACATCTGTGGATGTTAGAAATCTGTGTCAGAAAGAATCAAAGTAATCATCTGGTGGCCAATAAGATATGGGAACAAGAGACTTTCTAGTTCTACTACTGCTGACAAACGAGTAACTTTTAGCAGCTTTCTTCTTTTTAAATCGCATCCAGTGTTCACAACTGATGTTTGTTTGTTACACTGTTATTCAAATGCAAAACTTTGAGGAGAATCAGTTTATTATGACTAGTTAAAGCACATGAGACTCATCTACAGTACCATTTAACACTCATTAGCATGAATGTCATTAGTTTGGACCATTTATTGATTTATTTCAACTACTGTTTTTTTCTGGGTGGAACAATGATGCAGCATAGCGCTCCAAAGATTTTTAAAATCGAAAATCTTTTTGATTTTATTATGGATTTTCTCTAGTCCATATTGGGACAGAGTTATATTTATACTTAAGCTCAAATTAGTACACAAATTTCCACTAATATAGAGTAAACACCCTTTAGCAGATTGGACTCGGACTACATGATTTGTATAACGATGAACAGCTCAGTTGGACAACCAGTTATGTCCAAGTTTCAATCTAGTTTCTGAGTTGTGGGAAACTCAACAATTTGGAGTTGGTTCTCCTTCATTATTCTGTCTAACTCATGCATGGCGCTGCAGTCACCTTGCTTGACAGTTGATGAATGCTTTTGGATTTAATAGCCTCACTTAATCATCCAATCACCCTTCTTGCTTTTGGCCAAACACCTTAATTTAGTTTTGTCTATGAATAAAGCCTTTCTCCAGAGATGTGGCTTGTGTTTGTGTGCAAGTTTCAGTCATAGTTGAACATGATGAATATGGAAGAAAAGAAACTGGCCTCAATGATGACAGAGGACATCAGTGTTCCAGCAGCTTCACCTTCTTACTTTCTTTCATCTGAAGGAGATTGTTTGGGGGTTTTTTATGTTTGCAAAGCAGTTAAACAACTGAAAACTTGCAGTTAACAAAATTGTTTGGTGTGACCATTTTTTTATTGTGCAGTAATTGAAATAAACTTCCATCAGTAGTCAATCATGATCCCTTAATACATGTTGATAGACCTTAGCCTTGTCAAGTTAACACATTGTAGAGCCCCCAGTTGTTGGTGGATTGTTTCTTTGCCAGTGTATGAATGTACGTTTAAATTTGAGCCTTTGTGGGATTCTAACTATATGTGAAGAAAATGTACAACAAATTCAAAGTTTTGCAACCTGTTGTTGTTTTTGTAAATCATTGCAATGTTATGTTGTGGAGTCGTTATAATAAGTTATTAGAATCCATACATTTAAATGATCAGGTTTTCTTTCTGTGCCACATTTACACACGATTACTTCTGTCTGTTTTATGTTTTTCTGTGCTCCCTCTGTAGGTATGACCGGGAAGGTTATGCAGTTGACAGCCAGTCGCTAACAGAAACCGTGTCAGTCGGTGTTGGATCGAAGATGAACTGGAAAACGCTGAGCGATGTTAAGAATGAAAACATGGGACACGGAGAAAAGGTACAGTCTACACAGGCAAACATGGCAGCTTCTTATTTACTGAAGGGTCATTTATGTTAGGGTTCCCTACACCAGTCTGCTTGTTGCTTTCATATTTCTTATGAAAGCAGAATCTAGAGAGACGCCTTCAAACCCAACTGATCCAAACTCACCTGCTCCAGTGAAGTGCATCAAAACTATCAGTGGGTTTTGTTTGTCTTGGAATCGTGGAGCAACATTGTAATTCACAAAATGTCTACATATTGAAGCTACATTTTCTTACATGCCTGTCAAAGTCTTTCTAAGTTTCAGAATTGGAAACACAAAACAATTTTAAAACCTTTACATTTAAAAACAATGTTTACACTCCTGTTTGTCTTCCAATCTTTACAGCTACAATTTGTTTATCAATTTGTTTTAACTGAATAAGGATTAACACATCACAAATAGCTATACTGTGGAAGAACGTACTATTGGAATTGTGTGGAGTGGATCTTAAAGTGAACCATCTGCCATTTTAGGAAATGAAACGGAGCAAAATTATCTTGGTTTCAACCAGAATTGGAGTCCATCTAAGGGGTATTTGGCGCTCGCTAAACTTTCCATCTAATTAATTCAGTTTATCTCAGATTATTTTTCCTCTTTCCTTGCATTTAATTGGAAGCTGCTTATGGGTAGCTTGAAGATCAATGTCATTTCTAATGGAAATTTCTAATTATGTGCTAGAGGAAGCCTAAGGAGCATAATATTACCAGAATGGAAAGAGGCATAGAATAAAAATGTGGACTAGCGACTCGATTGCAAAAAAAGAAAAAAACTTAAGCACTGCCACTTTAACTTCACAACACAGAGGAATCTGTTTTGAAGAATATAAGAGATCAAGATGGTAGAGATGACGGGAAAAAAAACAAGGGTGGCTTAAAGCGAGAGGTGAAGTAAAGCTTGAGAATTTGATGCCGACTGGAAATGTTTTACTTTCCAGTGCAGGACGGTGAGTTTAAAAGTGAGAAATTCTCATTTTTACCTCTTTTGTCTTGGCCTCTTTCCTCTTGTGCTCTCTCTCAGCTCTGGGCACCCCCAGCTGTTTCTGTAATTGAACTGAAAAGCGAGGACAAGGCTTCTCATCACACACTCTGAGGCTACAGCTTTGGTTAAAGCTATGGAATATTTCTAATTTGCAGCAATCTAAATTAGCATACTACCTGTTTCCTCCATCTTTGGGGGTGGATAATTTGGATAGTGTGTTAGAATCTATCTATCTGTGTGTGTGTGTGTGTGTGTGTGTGTGTGTGTGTGTGTGTGTGTGTGTGTGTGGATAGGAGCATGTTGGGGAAGGACGGTTGTGTGGGATATAAGTGTTCAATCCATTTCTAATTAATGTAGATATGCGTGTGTGTTTGGGATTTTGGGATGAGCATTAAATTTGTCATGTGCAACCACATCAATTATGTGAAGTGGATTTTCACTTGGTTGCCCTTCCACGTGTAAATTTTAATTACATTTAGGTGCCAGAAGGTGACACTGGGATTTGGTGTGATAAGAATGAAAACTACTTTCACATTGCAGAATGTGTGTCAGTCGCGTACATCCAGTTTGTGTTTGCGTATCTCTGAGTGGTTTCGTCTACACGCTACTAGTGGTGATATTAAAAGACTTTCCCCAAAAGTTTTTCTCTCCATACGAAGCATTGCAAGACTATTACTCCTTTTCACTTTTACACATTTAGTAGTCAGAGAATGATGCATTGTTATTTGTATTTTTTTACAAATAAAATCAAAAACATGTAACATGCATGTGAGTCTCGTCCAATCATTTGGACTCAGACATCAGCTAAATAAGGAGTTAAGTCAGCTTGTGTGTTTGTTGGGGTCTCTATACAGATTGGAAAGTTATAGGATTTGATTTCACTATTCCTCTTTTCTGGGTAAATATGAAAAGATAAAATACACATATAGACACTTGTTATCATTCTTATTTTTTCCCATGTATTCTCCTTCCTTTTCTGGAATGCTTCCTTCTTTTCTTAACCTTTTTGAAACATTTTAAATCCTGTCATTTTTTTCTTTCCACTTCAGTTATGCTTTACTTAAGTTGGTATTTGACATAAAATCACAGTGGAATAAATTAAGGGGGCATTTTTATGTATTTTCCTCACACATAGTGGCATTTTATTGCACAATCAGGTATTTATGTTACCTCCAGTTATAAAAAATGTTTTTCAGAGCGCAGTAGATCCTACGATGAGCTCAGTAGGTGCACAGTTTGACTAGGCCTTAACTGCTGCTGCCGATAGTCTGCAGGAGCTGTGTAGGGGAGGCTGGAGGAGAGATGCTTTGTGGAGTTGGCGGCGCTTTGAATGAGCAAGTGTTTAGGCATCTCTGGGTGGTTGCCACGGGAGATTTGCATAACATAATGTAAAGCTCAAAAAAGTTGATTTTACATAATGCCCCCATTTAAAGTTTGTAATTATAATGCAACATTCAAAATGTGCCAGGGGTATAAATGTTGTTATAAGGCTTTGTAAATGAATACAGCAAGAAAAGAAAGGACCTCAGCAGGAGTCTTTAATTATGAAATATTGTGGGATTCATTTATCATGTTTTGCTATTGATGAAATAACCCCTGGTCAAGGTCCTGCTGTCCTTTACGTCCACATTAACTCTGCCATCATAAGGAAGACGCGGCAAGCCCTCACTTCTGTCTCATCCACCCACCTACTGCCTTCCACATCGCCTCCCCACTTCTTTATCCTTCCAGTTTGCTTTTAAAATGTGACGAGGCAGGCATGCTTATGGGAGCGTAGGAGTGTGGTGTTGATGAGGAGTGGGGATGTTGCTAAAGGGGGAAATTCTGCTAATTAATTAAAAAAAAAAAGCCTCTTACTAAGTGTTTCTGAAGGGTCCTTGCTCGGTGGCATGGACGCTGAGTCGATGGATGGGTGGACAGATTATGAAACTGTGAGTCAGTATTGGCCAGAGGGGGAAAAGTGTCAGAGGGCTCAAAGTCTGAGTGACAGTAAGTGTAGCGGTCGAGGGGACGCAGCACAGCATTAGCCCCCTCATGAGGGATGCAGGAAACACAATGGCCTTTTCACATCCGATGCTTTTACAAAACACTTTGCAGGAATCATGCTTTGCAGAGCAGAGGAACAGCGTTTCTCAGTATGTGTGTGATTTTGGCCCACATCCTAGAAAGAGTCTTTGATAGACTCATTTAGGCCAACATTAGTAATGAGTCTGGCCCAGCTCTAGCTGCTGCTTGTTGTTTAGTGTGCGTTTTATATTCTAGCTGTAATTCCTGGATCTTGTTTAAAGTCTGTTCTAGAGAAGAAATGCCCTCTGGTGTATTGTTGGAAAAAATCAATTCTTTCTGGTTTCCTATACGTGCATGTGGATCACATTTTCCATGAGTATTTTAAATTCCTGTACGCTTGCATGTAGGTGCATTCGAGGGCTGCCTCTTGCAGTGAGACATTGTTCATCTGCTGTGTGTGTGTTTTTTTTTTTTTTTTTTTTTTTTTTTTTTGGAAATGGAATGGCATGCTTCTCTACAGGATGAGAGCAATAGCCTTTTCCCCTCAGAATTGACATTTCTTTCCTTTTTAGCTGTTGATTTTAGCAGTGTGAGTTCTGCCGCCTAAGGTGCTAATATCTGTTTAAATTACAGCTGCATCGTTGCATTTTAATTTGATTTTGTTTGACTGTGCACACTTTAATTTGATTTTGTAACAGAAGGAAGTTTAGCGTCACTATGTCTGCATTGCACATGTAAATATTTGGTTGTTTGCATATAACCTTGCATTATAGTCATGTATACTTGTCAGTTTGCTTGTGTGTCTGTATGTATTAGCACAGCTTTCGCATTAGAGAGGGAGAAATTCATCTCGTCTTGCATCGATTATGCAAAGATTTCTCAAACTCCTCCTGCTCTTTGTGAGCTGTTCCAAGATTTTCTGGAAGTCAAATAGAGATGTGTAAACAGCCTGCATGCACCAGTTGGGCTGAATTTTTGGCACCAATTAGATATTCAATGCCAACTCGGATGTAATTTCAATTTGGATTTTCTTAATTATGCCCTTTTGCACCCTTTGCGATGTACTCTGTCGCTGTTTGAACTTAAGGAGCCCTTTGGCTTTTTGTCTTTATTTCAAGGTTTTTACTCTCTTAAAATGTATGGAATTAGGTTTTTCCATTTTTCAAGTCTGGATGAGAAGGGTTTTTGAACACCAGGAAACATTTCGTTTGATTTCAGAGTGTTAACTTTTCCATAATATAAAACAGAAAAAAATAATTCAACCATTGCCTGTTCATGCTTTTTCCTTGCCAGGTCTCAGGGTTGCTGGTGCCGTGTCCAGGGGTCATTGGGCAAGAAACTGGGTGCCCCCTGGACCGGTCGCCAGAACATTTGATAAAATATTTGCTCACCAATCAAAGTAATTGACTTCAGATATTTAAATGACATGGCCAAAGGTGTGTAAAATGCAGCACCTTTAAATGCTGCTTCTAAAATCACATTTACTATAAAATAGTCACACACATTGTGTAAAATTTGTAATTTATTATCTTCATTCAATATTGATTCACACATTTGCAATTATAACACTTTATACCATAAAGTAATTACACAGGGCTCTTTTAAACCCTCTACATTTAAAAAAATGTCCACAGTTCATAATCAAGTCTTACTGCTTTTATTTCAAAATTGAAAGGTTGACACAATGCATAACTTCAGACAAGATTTCTTCACAGTTGATCTACTGATTAAAAATCTGACAATATATATACAAATAATATTCACCAGATTTCAAAGATAGAATAAATTTTCACTTTGTTATTTGATATGTTGTTTTTAAGTCTAATTGGTGAGAAATTGTTCTATTATCATTATTTTGTTAGGAATTATGGTTCCTTACATTATGTTTATTCATTTGAATTGGTTTTCTTTCAATCTTTCTAGATTTAACTAGTTATTTGGGTTGATTTGACACATCAATCCTGGCCTTTCTGATGCCATTTTGATCAAATGTAGTTCCTGACGTCCAATCGTGTCAAATGGATTGAAGGTCATGACTATTTCTGATCACAAACTGGATAAGATAGTTACTTTTCCACTCATCTTTTTGCGTGTTCTGACTGCAAAGAAGTCCAAACCGCAGAAGCTGACGTCATACCCCACTACTGTTCTGTGATTTTTGACTCTGCTGTGGACTAGTGATTACTCACTGTGTTCTTGAGGCCTTCGCCACCTGGCATCCCTTTCATCTCACAAGATGTTGCCTCCTACATAACAAACACTTTGATGAGATATCTTCTTCCGCTCTATTCATTGAACACCTTTCACTTTGAAAAGTTTGATTCCGTCTTGGCAAATGCACTTTCTCTTCTAGCACACGTAAACATGTGCTTTTAAGTTTGAAAAATCCATATGACATGACCTAGGAGCAGGTTAAACAGAAGGATTGCATTTATTTCCACCCTCATCGCAGTCTTGAAATATTTTTGATATTTAAATGTGTTGGGTGTCAGTGGCTCATGTAAGTTGTTGCTGTGTAGATGTAAAAAAGCTGTTTTTATAAATGCACTAATAACACATTTTTAAGACACAGGTCATATTTTTTTGCTTCCCTTTTTGCAATCACGTAAACTTGGCTTTTCTTGGGATCAAATGAGCAACAGCAAAAGAGGAGCATTATGCTAATAAACTAAGGAAAATGTAACTAAAGAGTAGCATTTATGTAAATGGGTCTGTCATTTTTCAAAATGTCAAACCTCTAGTTGTGATGTTAAAAACCATCAGACCTAGAGGGATTCTTTTCTGTTACTACAACAATCAATATGCATACAGTTAAACTTAAACCAAGTCAAAAAATATATGTGATAATGTACAGCATATTAAGATTATTAGTTCTCTACATTTTGAGTGCGATTATGTGCTTCTTATAGACCTTACTGATGCAGTCGGTGACAGGAAGCTTCCCCATGTCTTAAATATGGTGTGTGATTTAATTTATGCAGCTTATATTCCCCCCCCCCATCACTGAAGCTGCAACCAAAAACATACAAACTTAATATCAAAGTTTTCTTGAAGTCTAAGCCTCTTAAGTAGAAATCAGATGGGTGTGCTCTGAAATTTTAATGAAACAACTTAATTATAAGCCAGTCACATGGACTACTACAGATAGTTCCATGTTTTAACATCTGCCAGCACTGTCGGCATCCAGCAAGACATAAATAGGGAAAATAAATGCTCCAACACTCTGACTTTCTTACTAATTACCAGGGTTTCTTTTCTCTAGTCTTGCTTTTTGTGATTTAAGCACTTTTTTTGGTACCAAACAAAGGACAGCATTTATTCTCTGGTAAGTTAAATTGTAGATGTAATTCCTGCTGTTCAGGGTCTTTTTTTTATTATTTATAAATTTGGCATTTAAAGTTCTTAAAATTTGTCCAGGCTACATTTGACTGATGATAAACAATCATCTTTTTACGGTATTTGGGTAAAACCTTTAAAATATAATCAAATATGCTTGAGGTGTTACAGTAAATAGACATTTGCCAAGTTTTGTGGAAGAAAACTGAATGCTGCTTCTTTATGTTGGGTTGTTATTGATGCAGAGTAACTTAAACCCGAAGACTTGTTTGGTCTGGAAAATTATTCTTCTATACATCTGCAACCAAACTACTGTCTGTTTTTACTGCTCAGACTCTTTTCAATATTTAGATTTAGCCTCTTTTTCTGTCGTTTTTGTCTTTCAGGCAGACTATTTTAGCTGCGTGGCAACTATAGTTTACATGCGTAAAGAAAATTGTTTGTATCAAGCCTGTCCGTCTTCAGACTGCAACAAGAAGGTCATAGATCAACAGAATGGTTTTTACCGCTGCGAGAAGTGTAACAGAGAGTTCCCCAACTTCAAATATAGACTCCTACTTTCAGTGAGTATGATGCACATATGGGACAAACAACATTAATGCTTGTCAAACATGCAGTGATTATTCTCAGTGATGACACAAATACACAGTCAGACAAACAGAAGTAATGTTTTCCCCTACCCATCATCTCTCGCTGTCTTGACTCTCAGGCTAACTTGGCAGACTTCGGGGATAACCAGTGGGTGACATGCTTCCAGGAGACAGCTGAGGTCCTGCTGGGTCGCAAGGCAGAAGAGTTGGGACAGCTCAGAGAAACAGTGAGACTCTGACACACACATACACACAAAAGGAGAAACTGCCACAGACAGTTCTTCTTAACAATTTCGCCCAGGAGATCTAACTATAACGGACTGCTTCCTTTTAGAGTTTCCACCAAACTTTTTGTTTACCTCTGAATATTTGTGTGTGTGTGTGTGTGTGTGTGTGTGTGTGTGCGTGTGTGTGTGTGTGTATTTCCAAGGACGAGGAAGGGTTTGATGAAGTCTTCCAGAAAGCCAACTTCTCTACCCACATCTTTAAGAACCGAGTCAAGCTGGAGACATATAATGTAAGTAACAATAAACAGAAAAAGTATAAAAGTTTATGGTGCAAAGGATTCACTTGTTTCCAAGACATAAGACTACAAAATACTGCTTTGTATGATTAGCAGCTCATGTCTCGTTCATCATAATTTTGAGAAAAGTGCACCTCAAACAAATAGAAAACTGTTGAAAAGTACATTTGTTTTAGTCATTCAATTCAGAAGTTGGAACTCATAGCTTTATTGGATAAAGATTGATGTATTGGATTTGATAAAGCACTGCCCACTAACGGCAACAGATAGGAACGATTATTGATTGTACAAACCTAAAGTTGGACCCAAAGAACCCTGGAATTCAATTTTGATTAAAATTTCATTACAAATTTAATCAAAATTTCAATGAAATGCAAATTTTACAACGGACTAGTTCTTTTTCATAACAAATTTTCTTCCATGTAAGCTGCTTGTATATAAACTCAATGAACAAAGAGCTTCTTCTCCCTCCTCTCCTTGTGGGAGGCTGTCCGTGACTGTTGTCTGGTCAGCTGTCGACTCAGCAGTCCTCGCTGTGATTGTGTAAGCTATACGACATTCTGCATTGATGATCCCTTTCTTAGACTTTTATAACTTTAACATTTTCAGAAAAACACAATTTTGGGCTATTGTCATTGATATTAGAAGTAAAGTATTGAAACATGTGGATTGAACTAATAAGCAAACTTTTCATTGGGATTCTATGGTGCAATGCTGAGTAAGCTGTTTTTGTTTTTAAATAACCAAAATGCTGTTGATATTAAAATAATTGAAACAACACATACAGTACAGATCTAGAAATGTTTCCAAGCTGCTCTGTTCGCCTGACCCCATCACCTTTTTGTTGTTTTTTTCAAGTGAAGTTTTTATTTTTTGTGGATTAGTTGGTTGTCTTGCTAAAACTGACCTAGTGTCGATACCATAGCGATCCCAAATGAGGCTGTTTTATAAAACAAAGTCAAACTTATAAACTTTGATATTGTGTTAAGCATTCCCCAGGACTAATGGATAGACTAGCTGTTTCACAGGTGAACAGAATTGGCCAATTTTCTGCTTGGCTGCTTTATCCATGAATGGCTGACATTGATTTTTTTCTATAAATGTAGCAGCTACTTAACTCTAGCAATAACAGCTCTTCGGTGCGGAAGTTTTTAGGTGGATTTCTTATAGCCAATAAAGAAAGCTGTGTAACTCATTGTGTTGAGCGAAAAAGTAAGAAATTACAGAATTAAATATATCTCTTTAATGATGGTAAACTGTAAGGCCTAATTTTTAAGTAGCCTAAACACTGCAACTGTTGCATCTGTGGTGTTATTGTTTGCCATAAAACTACAAAAGGAGTTGCATGTCTACTACGCGTTTGTAAAACAGAAGTCATTATCTTTTGTTTTTTACTGAACTGCAGTCTTAAGCTTGTGAAACCACCAAACAAGATGCACAAACACGAAGTAATCACAAAGCACTGTCAGTCACACAGCATAAACTCAGAATCATCTCAATTAGTTACAGAGCGACAGGGGGGTTGTTTTGTAGCCAGTGCACTTTGGATTGCAGAAAACAAATACAGCTGTGGATTCATTTCTCTTAATTAGGCACAAATTAGCATTTAGCTATTGTCTGTCTAAGGCTAATTAGCCTAATTATTCAAAGGCCAAATTGCCACTAAGGGCGTGTACTGGGAGAAGCAGTTGAGATTCAGATTTATCTCTGAAGGATCTGTGTCTTGACCTTACGAAACCCTTCAAGCAATCCTGTGCAATTTTAATCCAATCCTTTAGTTCATAAAATAAGAAGAAATGCCTGCCAGTGACTGAAAAATTGCCAGTGCAGCCTCTAAAGACCAAATTGCTACAAAAATAAAATATTCTCAGTGGGAGAGATTTGTGTCTAAAGCACCAACCTCCCACGCCCAAGACAAAGAGAAAAAAAAAAAACAATACGCCTTCAGATTAAAGTTTAAATTTTAAACCTTTCTCTAACTGTCTGAAGTTAAATGAAGAAGTATAAAATTGTTACACAAAGTGGATATAAGTGTTCAGAACAGATGCATAAAACAAATACTAATAAAACAGCATTTTAGCTGGCAGATTTTATTCATGACTACAAAAAAACAATTCAAATTGTGAATATTTTCTGTCATAAAGTATTTAGTAGAGCCAGTAGCTGTGTTGCCCCTGTTCATTGTGTCAGTGGTCAGTCAGCCACCTTTCTCAGCTCTCCTCAGGTGAACAGTGTGCATATCAGAGTGAGTCAGCATTAACCTTTTTCTTTTTTTGTTTTCATCACGAAAACTTTTAATGCACAACGTAGGCTGGGTTAAAATTGTTACTTTGAGGGTACGCTGCACTGTTATTTACAGTGTGTTGCAACACACTGTGCATGTAATGAAAAGTGTTTT